CCCCAAAACCCCAAAACCCCAAAACCCCGTGGCATTTCGAAGTAGTTGAAAGCTAAATTAGACAAGGCTGTAACTACATGTGTATTTGTAGTTCAGATTAGGATTGAGACCTGCAAATTTAGAATTTTACTCGGGAGAGAACAGATAAAATGCAGAAAAATAGTAGACAGCAGGAATCTCATTGATTCAAAGATCATTTTAAAATACTTGACAAAGAAATTAAGCCAAGAGATGGAAAACCTCAAGAAGCAGCTAGACCAACCATAATCCTATACTATGTCCTCAGCTCAGTATTCCTCTGAACCGCATTCGTATCCCTAATATACCTCATAAACAAACCCCACACATCCTACTCCAAAAACTCTACATTCACTTCCTTAAGCAACCTCACCACCTTCTTCCTCCTAGCCACTATAACCCTCTCCACAATCCTCCACCTAAAAACCCTCGAACACCTCACATCCCCCCAATCCCCCCTACCCTACCAATCCCTCTCCCTCCTCCTCGACCACATCCTCAGCACCCTCCTCCACTCCAAACTAACCCTCATCCTCATCTCCCTCCTCTCCACCCCTTCTCCCCAGTCCCTCCTCCCCAAAATCCTCCTCGTAACACTACTGTTGTTCTTACCAATCCCTAGGATTTTCAGGAAATCTTTATGGGCATTAAGCAGATTCAGTGTTTATACAACTCAAAGAGTAAGAGTAGGAGCAAAGAAATTTTGTGATAAGTTAACAAGAAGACAAAATTAATTTTTTTTAAGAAAATTGTTGAGGGATTTATGTAACTAAAGAGGTATTGAAAAGGAAAAGGAAGGGAAAGGGGGTTAGAGGGAGAAATAAGTGCACAGAAGAAAAGTGAATTTTTGACAGTTGGTAATTGAATAAAAGATTTTATGGTCTATCCAGAATTTCCTGCAAATTTCTTTCTCCATTCCTCGCATTGCTCTTCGGATATTTGCTTGAATATTGGGTTTGGAACCTTTATTTCATGGCCTGGTTTTAGTAAAGTTAATAAGATGTCTGCTGGTTTTCCTCTCAAATCTCCAATCAAAGTTTCGTCTTGCTCAGTTCTTACTAAATTCAGTGTCTCATATATCTTAGCACTGAAACTAGGAATAAATGGCTCCAGCACACCTGACAAGAATCTCAGAGCATTCAGCAAAATATTAAGAATAGTTCCAGCTCTGTCCAGATCAGTTTTATAAACTTTGAACGGCTCAGTCGAAGTCATGTATTCATTTCAAGCTTTACTAATTTTCATCGCCTTGGCAAGTCCTTCTCTGAGATGGACTTCCTCCATTGTGACACAGTACTCTTCAAAGATTTCAAATACATCAGCGATGAATTTGTTATCAACATCGAGGAGTTCAGTTTTTCTTTCAGGAATCTTTCCTTCTAAGAACTTTTGAGTAAATACAAGAGCTCTGTGACTAAAGTTTCCTAAATTAGCAATGAGTTCGTTGTTATTTCTTGCAGCAAAGTCATCCCAATTGAAAAGTGAGTCGTTGCTTTCTGGTCTGACACTAAGAAGATAGTATCTCCAAACCTCGCTATTGATTCCTGTCTCTTCAGCATGATTACCGAAGACACCGACTCCTCTAGTCTTGGAGAACTTTCCTGATTCGTAATTGAGATATTCAGTAGTACTGATATGATGCAAAAGAGTCCAATTCTGTTCAGTAGCAATAAGAGTTGAGGGGAAGACAACACAATGGAATGGTACATTATCTTTTCCCATGAATTGGTATAGCTCTACTTCTTCTGGATTCTTCCACCATTTCTCCCAGTCTCCAGTGAAAGTATTAGTGATAGAGAGGTACCCAATTGGAGCATCGAACCATACGTAAAATACTTTGTCGGTATATCCTTCAAGTGGGACTGGAGTTCCCCATTTCAAATCTCTAGTGATGCATCTTCCTTCAAGTCCTTTCTTAATCCAGCCCTTGGTGGTTGAAATAGAATTCTTGCTCCATTTTCCTTTCTCAGATGACTCATCAACCCACTCATCTAACTTTCCTTGCAACTTCTTTAAGTCTAAGTAAAGATTGGTTGCTTCCTTAGGAGCTGGAGTGGTTCCGCATACCTTACATCTTGGGTTTTTCAAGAGCATGGCGTCAAGGAGTTTGCCGCATCCATCGCACTGGTCACCCTTAGCATCATCAAATGGGCAGAGATAGCATCCTCCTACTACAAATCTATCTGCTAGGTACTTGTCACAGGAAGAGCAATAGAGTTGCTCTACTGTGTCTTCGTAAGTATATCCATTATTGTAGCAATCCCAAAAAATAGATTGGGCAATTTTAGTCTGCTCTTCAGTAGTAGTTCTTCCAAAATGATCAAAGTCACAATCAAACCACTCATAAATCTTCTTATGGATGGCGTGATAATGGTCACAAATCTCTTGGCAGCTTTTGCCTTCTTCAAGAGCTTTAGTCTCTGTTGCTGTTCCGTATTCATCGGTTCCACAAATGTAGATGGCATTATGTCCTGCTAATCTTGCATATCTAGCGTAGACATCTGCTGAGAGAACACATCCAATGATATTTCCGAGATGAGGAACATTGTTAACATAAGGAAGGGCAGAGGTGATCAAGATGTTTCTCTTTCCTGCCACAGGGAGTATCTCTTTTCCCTTATTCAATCTTACTAGCTTTGCTTTAGAGTTACTGTATTGCACCTTCTTTTCAGTCTTTTTAAAGAATTCTCCGTCACCAGATAAGCCCAAATTGTCACCTAATTTCTTCACAAATGCTTGTAATTTCCCATTTAGTAGTTTCTTAAGTGGAGACAAATAAGAGAACAGCAAGACTTGTAATGGGCCTTTCTCATCTGGGTTGATCTCTGGTACGAAGGTTGTTTGAATGTCCTAAAGTAAAAGATCAATCCACTTACCTTTATCATGGCCTTAATCTCATCATTTCTGCTTCTATCGTTCTGGAAGGCTACAGCTTCAGCCATTATTCAAAATTCTCCTGTGATAAGTTCAATCCAGTGATCAACTGCTAATGATTTTCCAAAGAAGGGCAATGGACCATGTTGAGCTTGTTCACATATCAAATTAGCTGCAGATATTTCTCCAAAGATTTCATCTTCATCTGGATACTTAATCTCAATGTTCAAGCCTGGAGCAGGATCTTTCTTTCCTTCTTTATGAGTGACTTTTCAGGTGGGTTGCAGCACCTCCGATAAGTTGTGGATAAAGAATGAAGCAAGGCTTGCTTTCTTCTTGTACACTATCTTAACTTCGAGTTTTTCCATATTTAATTGATAATCTTTATTCAAAATTATTATATAAGAGATTCATCCACTACCGTTCAATAAATTGTGGTAAAGGAGGGGTTTTGGGGTTTTGGGGTTTTGGGGTTTTGGGGTTTTGGGG